CTTTCAGGGATGTGGGCAGGCAGGCTTCTGGCACAGAGACGGAGGTTCAAGGCCCTTCCAAGGACTTGAACCCCAAAGCTAAAGTCACAGGTTTATCATAGGACTGCTGTCAGGGCCAGGCAAGGCTCCAGGAAGGAAGCTCCCTTCCCACCATCCTCTTGCCTTCTTCAGCAAGGGCCTCCTCCCGGGGCTTGGCCACTCCCAGCATCCAGCACCCCCACCCTTCAGCTGGTTGGGAGGCAGGCAGGAGGCTTTATGCGGGGGCCGTGCCGGTGGGCTGTTTTCCCAGAGCAAGGAACGAGGCAGGACTGAGTTGGCGCCAGCTCCCTCAGATACAGACATTGCTGGCTGGGTGACCGGCCTGCCCCAGCTAACTTGAGCCCAAGGGCTCCCTCAGGCACTGTGTTCCTGTCCTGGGGGCTGCGACACCACATCCCAGGGGTGTGGCATGTCACAGAGGGAGGCCAGAGGGGCACCAGCCATGCCTGGAGTAGGGCAGAGCCCGGTGAAGGCCTGGCCGAGGTTGCTAGCAGGCGCTGACAGGAGGAGGAGCTGCCTGCGCAGGACAAGGCACAGCTTGTGGGAAGAGGCCAGCAGGAGCAACTGCAGGTGGAGCCGAGCTGCCCCTGGACTGAGAGGGGTCAGGGCCAGGAGCCTGGCTGCAGGCAGGGTAAGGAAATACCGGCCCTGCAGAGGGAGCTGGGGAGGCAGGGGTTGGAGGTCTGAGCGGTCAACTCTGATGGCAGAGCCTCACTCAATATTACCGTCCCGGCCCAAGAGAGGGGACATTGGCTCCTTTGACTCCAAGGCTCCTTGCTGGGGTGGTTGGGATAAGTCAAAGCTGACTTACAAGAAAGCGCCTCAGAGAGCTGGCCCAGCTACTTCTCTTGGGAAACTGAGGCCTGGAGGACTGATGTAAGTATCCCAAGCTTCCAGGGCAGCAGTCAGCAGCAGGGCCAGGACTTCAGCCTGTGTGATTTGACCCCGTTTGGTCTTTACCACACCTGTCTTTTCCTCTCAGGACCAGCGGGCGAAAGGTCAGCCCTACAGATCAGGGTGTGGCTCCGTGGTCCCTGTGGCCC